ATGTTAAGCACTGCACAGCTATTTGGAAACTGTTGCACTCTTAATCAATTTTGCATTGATTGTAGATCAAACACAAAATTAACCAACAAGAGGGACCATTTGACCAATTAGGTGGAATTTAATGTCAGTGAATTGGCTCTCACCAATCAGCTGGAGAGTCAGCATGGGCCCTTTGCCCACTCTTTCTATGAATGCCCACCATATTAAATGCCAACTGTGGAGTCTTCCCTAGAGTCCAGTACCCTGGGGGCAGAATTCCCTCCCACTCACCCCTGCCAGCCAATCAGAGGGCAGTTGCTCTTTGTGGCACTCCACCACCTGTAACCCCCTGAGACCACAAGTGGCCATTTACTGCCTACTTCAGTTGATATTACAATAGGACGGCCATACACAAGGCTTTCTGTCCCAGGCTTATTGGAGCAGAGGTCCAATCAAATTGCCCAGCAACCAAATTTACAGTAGGGGACGGCATTAAATTCCATCCATTGTGTCTGTGCAGAGCCATAAAGAGTTATCTAACCTCATTCCTTTTTTAGCTCTTGGTCTGTAGCTTTCTTGGTTACTTTAAGTCCATCTCCAACTGCATTTTAAATGTGAGGGTGGCTACCTCGCCTCTCATTTCTGGTACTAAGTTTCAGGCACCCCAACACTCTCTGAGTGAGAAACATTCCTCCTCAACTACTTTGCCCAATTACTTTAAATCAATGTTCCCCGGTTATTGATTTCTTTGCAATGAGAACTAGTTCCTTCCTATTCACTGTGACTCATCGCTCATAGTTTATGCATCTCAACTAAATCTTCCCTCTGCCTCCTCTGTTCCAAAACAAACAATCCCTGTTCATCCAACCTTTTTTCATCACTAACATTCTCTTTCCTGGCAGCATTTGTTGTGCTCTTTAGTGAATTGTAAAAGTACTAATCATGTGACAAGGATTGGTGAAATAATATGTGGGTTCTGATCTGCGACTTAGTGGAGGCTTTTTTCCTTCAACAGGATATTTTTACCTCATGAGGCAATGCTGTGTGAGCTTCCATAACAAAAGAATTAGACATGAGTATTACAGTACAGAAATATATACTATACTGCAGTCACAGACACTTCAGTACTAAACTAATATTAAGCTATTCAGTTACAAACAGGGACTTGCTTCCATTACCATGCATGCTTCACATGGCCCCAGTTAAGATGGAGTCTGAGGCTTTTATAGTCTCAGGTTACGTGCTGTGATACAATGTTGATATCTTGAGCATGTCTCATAAATGTATATTGCATACTAGTTGAGACGTACTATAGAGCAGGTTCTTTATTGAAAGATAATATCTGTTAGTCGTTCGACATATTTGACTTTTATATCTATTGCAGTTTTATTCAGAGTACAGTCATGATGTTACATCCTATTCAGAGGCACATAATGATAGACAACAGCTAAGATATGCTATCTGAAAGGTACATGTACATCATATCACAGTAACATCCTCATAAATCTCCTCTGTACCCTGTCCAATGCGATCGCATCCTTCTTTCACAATCAGGCCAGAACTGTACATGACAACAATGAAATTACAAACTGTAAAGGTCCCCAACTCTGGTCGAACCCCTGGGGGTTTCTTCATATGACCTCCAACCATTCCTGCCATTCGTCACCCAGCATGGCCATCATCATGCTGAGTCCCTCCCTACACCAACTGGAAAGTAAGCTCTATGCTGGCGCCTTCATTATCCAATAGGATGATTCGTTAGTGTCAAGTTGCCACTCCCCTCCCCCTCCCCTGCACATTCATAAATAATAAATATATTATTCAAATAATTTAAAAGGTTTTTCTTTTCGTTCACTCTGTCTCCCTCTAAAGATTAAATTCTAATTCCTGAAGAAGCCAGCGCATGTATGGAATGATTGGCAATGCGAAGAGAGATTGGTTCGTAACAATTGTTTCGGACTTTGTCCTGGCTGATATAACTGATACAAGGGGACTGCTTGTGGGTTCTCAATATTACCCTGAAAGATAGAGTCAGAGAGTCATTGAGTCACAGAGATCTACAGCACAGAAAAAGGCCCTTCAGACCATCACCTCTGTGCTGGTCAAAAACAACCACCTAACTATTCTACTCCTATTGTCCAGCAGTTGCCCTATAGGCTTAGCATCGCAAGTGTACATCTAAATATTTCTTAAATGAGGGTTTCTGCCTCTCCCACCCTTACAGGCAGTGAGTTGCATATCACCACCAGCCTCTGGGTGAAAAGATTTTTCCTCACATCGCCTCTAACCCCACTGCCCTTTACCTTAAATCTATGTCCCCTGGTCATTGATTCCTCATCAAGGGGAAAAATGTCTTACAGTCTATCCTTTCTATGCCCCTCATCGTTTTATACATCTCAATCATGCCCCCTCTGGTCTAGCATTGGAGGCAGGGAGACCTAGTTACAGTAGACCCAGAACGGGGAGTCCTGGTTACAGTAGACCAAGAATGGGGAATCCTGGTTACAGTAGACCCAGAATAGGGAGACCTGGTTATGGTAGACACAGAATAGGGAGTCCTGGTTATGGTAGACCCAGAATGGAGTGTCCTGGTTACTGTAGACCCAGAATGGGGTGTCCTACTTACGGTAGACCCAGAATGGGGTATCCTGGTTACAGTAGACCCAGAATGGGGAGTCCTGGTTACGGTAGACCCAGAATGAGGAATCCTGGCATTGGCGCAGTTGCCACTACAGCGACAGCAGTGTAGGATGCCCAAAGGTGGGACTCCTGGTGACATCGAGGCAGCAGCAGAGACGGACCTCTGGTTGCGGGGAAAGTGTGGATTTAGCATGGGACCTGGCATCGGCATCAGCGGCAGCGTCGGGGAGGTCGGCCCAGCAGCGAAGAGATGACACCTAAAGAGTGGCAAATCCTACATTAGTGGGTCCGGCATAGCCAGCAGTGAGGCAGTAGAGAAGGGATGGCAGCGCAGGTGTCATTGGTGAGCCAGCTCAGGACTTTCTTTCAGTTGTACCTTTTTTATTCTTAAACTATTCAAAATGGTGCCAGATTGTGGCTGTATTTTCACTGTATTCTTCTGTAATATTCACTGTAAAGTGCAAGTGACAATAAATTATTCACTCATTCATTCATTCTGTCAATCTCCTCTGCTCTAAGGAAAACAATCCAGTCTATCCAATCTCTCTTCATAACTAAAACTCTCGAGGATTCTGCTCTGCACCCTCTCCACTGCAAACACATCCCTCCCTGAATGTCCCAGCATAATCTCCCTAACCAATGTTTTATATCCTTCCAATGTAACCTCCCTGCTGTCAAACTCTTCAAATCTATACCTCATTCAACGTTCAAGCTAAACAATTCACTACTAGCTGCCTTCAGTTTCCTGATAATATCCTTCAGGTACATATACATATCCACCTTGCTGAATAAGAAATGTGCAAGACACAAGCGCACTATTCCACTATTTTAATATGTCATCCTCCCAACAGACATTTACAGAATGCTTGATGCACATGAATTAATAGCATGGAGCCAAATGGTGTCAGGAATACATCATATCCAAATGAGAATGCAAGATTTGACCAATGTCTCTGCCTACTCATTTTATCTTCTGCATTCATTCTTTTGACCTTACATTTCGTTCAGTTTTTTTTTTAATAATTAAATAATTGTGCACCCTTCATCAAGAAAATGTGTGTTTTGGTAATTCTTATGCACAAGAGGCAGGATTGATTGTATTTGGGGAGGTTTCTAAATTTGCTTTTGTGTGTCAAGTCTGCCCCAGTGTGGAATCTATGTGAATTGCTGCTGGGGAATTTTCTGAGGTTGCTGTGACCTATACAGCATTATAGAGCCTATACTACAACCCCTACAAGTTTCAGAAAATACTTACTACCACATGTTTTACACCCACACATGCACTTAAACATATACATATACAGACTCACTGACAAACATATGCAGTGTATGGAATATTTGAATGACATTAAAGTAAGTGGCAAAAGGTTTAGCGGATATCATGGAATCATAGAATCCCTAAAGCGTGAAAAGGGGCTATTTGGTCTATCAAGTCCACACCGACTCTCTAAAGAGCAGCCCACTCAGAGCTATCCCCTGACCCTATCCTGTAACCCTGCATTTCCAATGGCTCATCCACCTAGCTTGTATACCCCTGGGCACTATGGCACAATTTACCATGGCCAATCCACCCTAACCTGCACATCTTTGGGAGGAAACCAGAGCACTGGCAGAAACACACACAGACACGGGGAGAATGTGCAAACTCCACACAGACAGCCCCCTGAGACTAGAATCGAGCCCGGGTCCCTGGAGCTGTGAGGCCGCTGGGCAAAACGTTTTCCACCCAGAGAGTGGTGGGAATTTGGAACTGTCTGCCTGTAAGGGTGGTACAGGCAGAAACCCTGATAACATTTAAGAAGTATTTAGATGTGCTCTTGCGATGCCAAGGTATACAAGGCTATGGGCCAAGTGCTGGAAAATGGAATACAAACTAGTTCCGTAGGTGACCAGCACAATGGGCTAAAGGGACTTATTCTCTTTTGTAGATCTCTATGACCCTTTGCCTCTCCACATGCTATTTTTGGAAATTTTAGGAATAACTTTTAAGAATGACTCTGGGTGGCACAGTGGCTCAGTGGTTAGCACTGCTGCCTCACAGCACCAGGGACCCGGGCTCAATTCCATCCTCTGTGCAGAGTTTGCACATTCTCCCCATGTCTGTGTGGGTTTCCTCTGGGTGCTCCGGTTTCCTCCCATTGTCCAAAGATGTGCAGGCTAGGTGGATTGGCCATGCTAAATTGCCCATAGTACCCAGGGATGTTTAGGTTAGGTGGGTTAGACATGGGAAATCAGGAGCAGGATAATGGGTCTGGGTGGGATGCTCTTCGGAGGTGTGGACTTGTTGGGCCAAATGGCCAGTTTCCACACTGTAGGGATTCTATGAATTATTCTTCTATGAACCCATATTGACAATATTTGTCCCTCTTCCTTAACTCAAGGATCCTGGAACTTCTGCAACACGGAGACCTTGACATTCTGAAGCACAAGTGGTGGCCAAAGACAGCACAGTGTGACATCTACTCTTCATCCCGAGCACAACAGAAAGGCAGTGCTTTCGATCTGGCCAGCTTCGCTGGGGTATTCTGCATCCTGGCTGCCGGCATCATCTTAGCCTGCCTCATAGCCATCGTGGAAAATTGGTGGAACAGACGGAAAGGATCTCGTGTCCCCTCCAAAGAGGTAACATTCTGCAGCCGTCAGCGCACATTGCCTCAGTGACAAAGTGACAGCTTTAAAACTGCCCCAACCCCACGTGAGATGTCCCCTGCTAACCCTTTGAGGATTTACTTTGTACAGGCTAAAAACAAAAATCACAAAAACACATACCTTCAAATACCCAGGGCTGTAGCTGCCAGCTGACAAAATAACAACAAAACAAACTGCATTTGTATAGCAACTGTAAGAGAGTAAACATCTCGAGATGCTTCACAGTCACAATATGGAAAAAGTTTGGACACAGGGTCACACAAGACGATAGAGTATTATGAGGCAAAGAGGCAGGTTTTAAGGGGCTTCTTAAATGAGGAAAGAGTTAGAAATGCGCAGAGGTTCAAGGAATGGAGTTACAGCAGTTAGGACCCAAGCAGCTGAAGGAATGGCCACCAGCAGTGAGCAATTCAAATCAGCATGTTCAAGATGCCAGCATAGAAAGAGCACAAAGATGATGGAGAGCTCCGGAGCTCGAGGGGGTTGCAGAGATGAAGGTTACCACGGAGAAACAAAAGGATGAGAATTTTAAGGTTGCGATAGAGGCAATATGTGAGTGAAGAAGTCCCTAAATGACATTAATGTGACAAGTTAAACTTGAAGACTGCACAGAAATTACTCGAAACTTAAACAGTAATGTTTGTTCGGCGGTACCTAACTTTGAATATTGCTGACAAAAACCACATTTTTACAGAGCTTTACACCTTGCCCTCATGAGGACAATTTGCAAGAAATACCAAAGTAAAGGGAAACGTTTATGTTGTGTGATTGGCAAGTAGAATCTAATTGGTAGATGCATTGTGATGACATGCATGTAAACCATAGGTTCCAATACTAACGGACCATATTGAACATGTCCCATCGATCATTCTCAGTGGACAGCATGCCAATGTGTTGAACCAGATCCTGCTTTCCAGCCTTGGAAAAGTGTATCTACTATTGGCTGGTGATTCTGCTATTAGACATCATTTATTAAATAATCCAAACTGTGCTAATAGTTACACCAGAAATCAATTTAAGATCATCAGTCAGGCTCACAGTGCAATGCATTTATGTATGCTAGAAGCTACATAGATTAACAAGCGTGACCTGTTTATGTAGGCAAAAGAAATTTGTCCATACATTGCATGATTTCCATGGAAAAGAGTGTCATGGAGACAATCAACTTCTGTTGCATCCCCATGACAATGCCCTGACCAATCAGTATCTACCTGCCTGGTCTGAGAATGAAGATTGGCAGTTAACTGTTCTTGCTGCATCTCCATATCAATTGATTGCTCAACCAACTGACGTTCTCTTCTCATTCTGTATAAATCGGTGTTCCTTTTCTCAAGTTTGTTTCATGCGTCCTAGTCCTGTTGAGTGCAAGGCAAAAGTTTTGACATCCTGTATCCTTTTAGCAGTATTTAAGCCATTAGTTGCCCTTGAGAAAGTGGTGGTCAACTGCCTTCTTGAATCGCTGAAGTCCATGTGGTGTAGGTACATCTGCAATGCTGTTCCATTATTTACAATTCACTTATCAACAAGGAATCGTTTGCAGTGATCTTTACATACTCTGCTTTGTGATCAGGCCAATCTTTTGGAAGATACTATTAATGATCTCCTGAGACTTTTCATTCCACTACTGGCTCTGTTGAATATTCAGGGCTGCTTTTCATTGTCAAATAAATCAATGTACTTCCTGGAGGTGCCCAAAGCCTTAAGTGACAAGACTGTGCATTGACAGTAAGAGCTCAAAACAAATGGTTGTAAGGTTGGACAAATTGAATCAAGTTTGAGTAAAGAGTTTGCATGAGCAAATTATGCATCTGCACGCTAGCACACAACCTCAGAGATTTAAGTTTCATGTTCAATTAAAACCATTGTTTTAGACCTTATAGTTCATGAGCAGATCAATGCATCCTCACTAAATAGAAACTGAAAGAACTGCGGATGCTGTAAATCGGGAACAAAAACAAAGTTGTTGCAAAAACTAAGCATGTCTGGCAACATCTGTGAAGAAAAATCAGGGTTAACGTTTCAGGTCCAGTGACCCTTCCCCAGAAGGTTCTGAGTAATTTCAAAATTCCCTATGGATGAGTCTCTTTGACCTTTGGACTAATCAGACCCTGCACGCTTCATATGCTAACCATTCAGAAGGTTCTGAGGAAGGGTCACCAGACCCGAAAAATTAACTCTGATTTTTCTACACAGATGCTGCCAGACCTGCTTAGCTTTTCCAGCAACTTCTGTTATTGAGAATGCACCTTCACTGCTGGGGTCAATTTAAACTTGTAACTGGGATCAAAAAGTAGTCTCGTCACCCTGTTAACCCCAATTCAGCAGGCCTCACCATTTTGAAAGGGGTTGTTGTATAAGGTAATCAACTTGAAAAAGTTAATATTGGAGACTGTGTTAAACTCCACCCCATCTGACGATAGGCCTATATTCACAGATTTCTGCCTAGTGTTAGTACCAATGTTTATCTCATTAATGTAACGTGTAGCTAATTACTATCGTGCAATAAACTACATCTTGTTAAGACAAGAACCTCTTCTTGTTAAGACTTACCATTGATTGCTCCTCTACTACTACAAAGCAAATAAGCCCTTAGATCCAATCAAGGAAAGAGGATGGTGACAATATCCTTCTACAGACAAATACCACAGAGTTTATCGCCATGAGCAAAAATGCCCACTTATCCCAGACATAAGGTTTCCTCTAGTGTGCAAATTACTGTAATGGAATTGCATCTTGGGTTGGGAGTGGTTAGCATATGAGGCGTGCAGGCTGTGACTAGTCCGAAGGTCAAAGAGACTAATCCATAGGGAATTTTGAAATTACTCCTGTAGGATAAGAGAAAGAAGGTTTGATTTATGTAATGCTTTTCGTAAACTCTGGACCCTCCAAAGCACTTTACACTCAATGAAGTAAAGTGACAAAAACACCACCACTGTTGTAATGTAGGCACTATGACAGCCAATTTGCACACAGCAAGCTTCCACAAGCGACAATGGTAATCTGTTTTTAGTGATGTCTGTCGATGGATAAGTAATGGTCTGGGTACTGGGTATAATTCCCTGGTCTTTCTCAAATAGAACCATGGGATCTTATAGATCCATCTGAGAAAGTCAACAGGACTTCGGTTTGATGACTCAGGTCAAAGTCTGAACCTCCAACGGTGCAGCATTATGTCAGGACTGCACTGGAGTATCAGCCTTGAAGTCTCAAGGCTTTAGCACAATGAGCTGACTTCAGCCCAGCCTTTTCTCTCAGCTATATCAATAATCTGGTGGGGTTTTGTCAAGAGTAGGATTTCTCCTGACTGAGTTCGCAGTCTGCTAATAAAAAAATTCTCAGAACAGAATGACAATCAAATTGGCAGACATAGTTACAGACATTCAATAACTCAAATTAAACAGTGTGCATATTAATCCTTGGTATTGAACAGGCCAAATCAATAATGGAATTGAAGACGATTAATTGTAATGTTGCCCCACCCCCTCTACTCCGTAAGAATTACAATTTCACTGCAATTACAAACAATCAGCTCTCTGACCCAGTAATTAAATTCGATCCACACTGTGGTGAACATATAAGTGGTAAAGATATAAAGAGGTATTGGAGCGAAGAGTTCAGAAAAATGAGAGACAACCTTACTGAAATATACAAGATTCTCTGGGGGCTTTCCAGGGTAGATGCAGGGTAGGTTATTTCCCCATGTGAGACAGCCTAACACTAGAGGGAGTAATCTTAGAAGAAAGGATTGTGCATTTAAGACAAAGGTGAGAAGGAATTTCTTCTCTCAGAGGGTAGTGAATCTGTGAAGTCCTTCACCACAGAAAGCCATAAGCATTGGGCCGTTAAGTATATTCAATGTGAACATCTCATCAATGTATGACAAAAAAGATATGAAGTTCTGGGGTTTGACACAGTGTCGTTGAAGGAAAAGCAACATATCTCCAAAAGTCAGGAAGGTGTGCAGCTTAGAGGTGAATCAAGAGAGAAAATGCTGAGAGGAGAGCAGAAAGAGGGGGTGGGTAAAGAAGAAACTAAGTCATTCAGTAATCACTCGTCATAGTGAGTGTTTAAAGACCAGGTAAAACTCAGCACTTTTGGTATAATTTGGTTCTTGTTCGTTCATTACCTGTCTTCACCATTTGGTAACACACTTGGAATCAAAAAGTCACTGGTTCACATTGCACTCCAGCAGGAACCTGTACACATTAAGTCCGGAAGGAATGCTGCATTGTCAAAAAACAATCTTTCAGCTGAATTGCTACATTGAAGCAGTTTATATGCTCAATAAAAGATTGTGCTGATATCTCAAACAACGTCAGGAAAACAGATTAATTCATAATTCACTTTGTCTCTCATTAACCTGCGAGACCACAGTGACAGCCATGTAATTGCAGTCTATCACCTGAATGGTGTCAAACAATTACGAATTTGGTTCCTTCATCAACAACGGAAAAATATATTTAAATGCATCTTTAGTGCGAGTGCAGAGCGGACAAAAGCGAATCCTCAGCCCATCTCAAACAAAACCCAAATTTCATTCAGTGGTTTTTGATTTGCCTGGAAGAATTGGGATGTGAATAAGAGGTAATGCTGTCTTGCTGGTATATGTTTTGCATTATATACCAAGATCCATTTTGCCATCTGTTCAGGTGTCTTAGCTAATGTGTAGTGGGTAGCATGTTAATCTCTGGGGTAGGAGGCTGTAGTTTATATCTAACTTCAGAATTTGAGCACAAAATTCAAACTTAAATCCCCAGTGCAGAACTGAGAGAGTGCTGCATTGTGGATGAGCAGTCAGCACAATTCCCCACCTGCCCTCTCAGCTAGGCATAAATCCTAGGCAATATTTTTTCCAAAAATGAACATGGGAATTATCTTTGAGTTGTAGACAATATTTTTAGCACATATCAGTTTGTAGGAGCTTTCTGTGTGTAAATTGACTGCTACATACCCTACATTACAGCAATAACTGCACTAAAAGTATTTCTTCAGCTGTAAAGTGCATTGGGATGAGCAGAAGCTGTGAAAGGTGCTGTGTCAATATATTTTCTTTAAATTAGGTACATTTAGTTTAGAGCTGTGATAAGTCAATTTCATGAAACACCAGTCTTTACTAAATAAGGTTTAACAGGTTTTAACAATAAGGTGTTAAAAGTCAAAATTATCCTGGTTTAAATTTAAGTAGAACATAAAATAGTATGGGACTGTAGAGTGGTGACTGTATCCAGCCACTCAATACAATTCATTAGCATATGATTTTCATATAATCGGATAGTTCTAATTTCATGTTTAAGACATTCATTACAAAATATATATTCAAACGTTAAACCAAATAATTTGTCAGCAACATAAATTCACTTGCGAGAGGCTCCACTTTTGTTAACTTGACATATATAACAACCTGTAAAATGGGATCAGACATCCCTCTTGACCCTTTCAAGCAGATGTGAGCTCTTCCAATACAATTCAATTGGATGGATTGAGAAGTCTCGCATGACTGAAAGTAACCTCTCACACAACTCATTTAGCAGGTAAGAGCTCGAGAAATCAAACTACTCACCTTTCACTGGATAAATGTAGAAACCATAACATTACATGAAACATACCTTCTCTGTGACGTCAGCAAAGTGCTGGTAGGGAATGTAAATCCTACCCCTTTTTTGTTTCCTTATTCTATGGGCTGCATGTTCAAAGAGAACATAGGTCAAGGATGGGGCAAGAGTATTTTCTCTCCTACAGTCCTTCCATCAGGGTAATAGGAGGTAGCCATTCACCCCTTTATGCTTGTTATACCATCCATTGGCATGGTGGCCAAGAGGTTAGCACTGCTGCCTCACAGTGTCAGGGACCTGGATTTGATTCCACCGTTGGGCGACTGTCTGTGTGGAGTTTGCAGATTCCCCCTGTGACTGTGTGGGGTTGTTCCAGTGCTGTGGTTCCTCCCACATTCCAAAGATGTGTAGTCTAGGTGGATTAGCCATGGAGAATGCAGGGTTACAGGGATAGGGAAGGAGGGTGTCGGGAGTCGGTGAGATACTCTTCAGAGGGTCAGTGTGGACTACTTGGGCCAAATGGCCTGCTTCCACACTATAGGGATTCTATGATTTATCAGCCCATGACTGGTCTATTCCTGAACTCATTATTTGCTTTCTTTGATGTGATGTGTTTGTCACTAACATTTGTTGCCCACCCCTAATTGCCCTCATAAGGGCAGTGGTGAGCTGCTTACCAAACTGCCTACTAGCCTTCGGCCCATATACCTTCAACAAGTAAGACTGATCGGTTTCAGTTTTAAAAATAGCAATTGATCTTTTACGCACCCACATCCATAGGGGAAGGATTTTGAGCTTACTACTCCCCTTTGTGTGGAAATACGCTCCTTGATTTCACTCGTGATCTGTCTCGTTCGAATTTAGCTTCTTCCTGTCGATCCCATTTGCATCCATTAAAATTCTAATCTTGATCAGCTTCACCGTTTCAAGTCAAAGGTATACAAGTCAGTTTTATGAAACTAACCTTCACAGAATAACTTTCACTGATAAGTGGCAATTAAAATTAGAAGTGGCCCAGAAATAATCATCTCCAACCAGAGAGATTCTAACCACCTCTCAATGATATTCAGGGCCATAACCATCCACTGAATCTCCCACAGTGGATATTCCTGACTGATACCATTGACTAAGAACTGAACTGAACCCAGCCATATAAATACTGTGGCTAACAGAGCAGGTCAAAGACTGGAAATTCTGAGCGAGTAATTCATTGAAGTGAATTGAATGATTTATTGTCACATGTATTTAAACAAAAACTGTGAAAAGTGTTAAGAGCTGCCATGCTCCAGCACCATTTTGAATTATTGAATATATTAAAAGATATTACAAAAGTAGAGTTTATCTTTCTGTCCCCTTCTTGTTCTAATTCTTCTAATTCATCTCCTAAATCCCCATCTGCAAGGCACAAGTCAGGAGTGTGATGAAAATGCTCTCCACTTTCTTTGATGAATGCAGTTCCAACAACACTCAGTAAACTTTACACTATCTGAGACATAGCAGCCCGTTAGATTGGACCATCTGCAACTTTGTACATTCACTCCTTCCACCACCAATGGCAACAGTGAGTACCATGTACAAGATACACTGCAGCAATTCATCAAGGCTCCTTTGATTATACATTTCAAACTTACAGCCCTTAAAACCTAGATAATGGTACTCTCACTAGACCTGCCATTCAGGACCTCAGGCTAATGCTGTAGGAACATAGTTTCAAATCCCATCACAGCAGATGGTGAAATCTAGATTTTCAACTAAGGTATTCCAGAGGGGCATTGAGTGATTATTTGGCTAGAAATAGTGTGCAGAGATATGAAGAAAATGCAAGAGATTGGCACTAAGTAATAGAAATGGTTCAGGCATGATGGGCTGAATGGTCTGCACATAATGATTCTGTGAATTGAAGCTGACAGTTAGAATCTACTGTCTCATCTGAAAGTACAGGACCCCATTGTGATTGAGAACTGGAACAATGCAGGAGATTTATCCCTGGTGTTCTCACCAATATTTATCCTTCAAACAACATGACGATAACACATTATCTGATTATTATCGCATTGGTGTTTGTAGGACCTTGCTATGCATAAATTGAGCGTTGTGTTTTCTTGCATCTTCTAACTCCGAAAAGAGCATGCATGAATAAGATCAAAGATCATTTTACAAATGAAATTTTTATGGGGTGTAAAGCAAGATGTGGCAACAAAAATCATTCCGAGCATCAACCCCCATGTGATCTTTCTCTTTATTCATTCATGACATGTGGACACACTTATTGATCAACACATTCAAAGCTGCCCACCAAATTACATTAAAGAGCTGAAAGTCAGAGCTGGAGTATCATGGGCTGGGGGAATATTCCTGCTTCAGCCACCTTTTACCTCATACACCTTTAATAAGTGCAGAGAAGAGAAAAGAAATATTTCATTCTAAATGCATCTACCATGTCTCTCCACCATTTGAAAGGTTTTTTTTTCAATTCATTCATGGGATGTGGGCTTCGCTGGATGGTCCAGCAGTTCTTGGCCATCCATCATTGGAGAGGTTGGTGGCGAGCTGCTTTCTTCAACCACTGCAGGCCTTGAGATGTAGGTTTGCTCGCAGAGTTGTGAGGGACAGTGAAGGAACGGCGATAAATTTCCAAATCAGGATAATGTGTGACCTGGAGGAAACTTGCTGGTGATGGTGCTCCCCTTGCACCTGTTACCTTTGTTCTTCCAAATGGTAGAGGTCGTAGGTTTGAGGGGTGCTGTCGGGGGAGACATGGTGAGTTCATGCAGCAGTTGATGTTTACTGTTGCCATACGCTCTGATCTGAAAGGCAGCCAGCACTTTGAGGGTTTGCATGAACAGTAAGATCGCGTGGAAGTCCTATCACTATCTAACATTCAGCAGAAATGCGACGAAGATGCCAGTTCTGAGGACAGACACACTCCACACACACTGGGTGTTACTGTCCTGCATTGTATTGACAAAGAGGTTCCTCTAAAATCAAATGTACCCACCAACGTGATTGAAAGTGGGCCTGAGCCAGAATGTGTAGGTTGGGCTGCCTCCATCCTGGCCCCGCTGCATGGTTTGACTCTCTCAACATCTCTTTCTGTTTCCTCCCTTTGACAGGAGGATAAGGAGATTGACCTGGAGCATCTGCACAGGCGAGTGAACAGCCTCTGTACGGACGACGACAGCCCCCACAAGCAGTTTTCCACCTCGTCCATAGACCTGACTCCCCTGGAGGTGGACAACATCCCTACGCGGCAAGGTCTCGAGCAGATCAGTGACTTCAGGAACACTCACATCACCACGACCACCTTCATACCAGAGCAAATCCAGACTATAAGCCGAAGCCTGTCTGCCAAAGCTGCCTCAGGCTTTTCATTCGGGCCTATGCCTGACCATCGAACTGGGCCCTTCCGGAGCAGGGCACCAAACGGAGGCTTCTTCCGAAGTCCCATCAAAACCATGTCCTCTATCCCATATCAGCCAACCCCCTCAGCTGCATACAGCCTCAACAATGATCCTGACCGGGGCACCTCCATATGAATGGTTCACCTTAAGGTTTTTTTTTTCCAGTCGGGACTCAGTTTGTGAGACCATAGATTTCATGGTAGTTCTAACCTGGACGTAACTTTCTTTGTGTTTTTTTTAAAAAAAGAAAAGGGGGAAGGGTGGGGGCCAGGATCTTAGTTTCAGCTTTTCTTTTTTCCAAATATAATCGCAACAACTCCAGCCTGTTTGCCGCAACCTATGTTTATTTCTGCTGCATTGGACTTCAAGGCTTTTGCTGCTGACTGTTTCACCTATTACTTTATGTTGGACCAAAGGCACAGTCCTGCTAGTAAAAGTAAAGAACATTCAGGCCGCAAGTTCAGGAATGCTATATTTTATAAGGCCACGTATATATGAAGCCATCCGTGTGATTGTAGAAATATTTCTGGCATCACGTTGCAAAACAAAAACTTAAATACTGTGTGGTCCCTGCATTTTTTTTTTGCCAACAAAGGTTGCAAGCTTTGGAAGGTTGCATCCTCTGCAAATGTTTTCTGATGTACAGTCGACATTAAATCTGCAGTAGTTCCTACAAGGCCAGTCCTGGCACATCCTGGCAATGATTGATTCCAAGGTGTTAGTCAGCTCAATACTGCGGGATATGAATGCCTGGAGTTCACTTTTACTGGATGAATCTGTGTCCTTGCTGCTGGAAGAAATTGGATCTCTTGAGTTTATGGCCATTTTTAGGATGTTCGTAGACAGTCAGTAACAAACATTAAACCTTCAGACTGCTTGTGCATCTTTTGAGGAAACCACCAAAACATAGAGTTATGTTTCAGCATCTTAATTGCAGATCCCATTTAAATATTGTATGAAGTTGGATTTAAATTTCTAAAAAGTCATGATAATTATGGTGTTGAGGATGACAGCTAATAGAACACCCAAAAATTTAGCAAAAATAAAATCCAGCTGAAATTTTAACTGATTTGATTCCATTAAATATATGGTCATTGTAAATTGAACTTGTAACAATCATGCAATGGTAACACCACAGGAAGGGCCAGCTCTTTGAAAGCTCTACCCAGTTGATTCCATTGCCCTGCTGTGTTGCCCTCTAGTGTGGCAATGTGTGGCTCCTTCAGGCATTGATCCAGTTCTCCTTTCAGTGCTCCTATTGGATATGGCCTTGACTTTACTGACAGTGAATAAATCAAACTGGAGAAATATGTTGTCTATTGTCAACTGATCCAACAGAACCACAGTCCTTGAAATAATTGAAGACTTTTGTGTCACATGGAATGATATATAGCTTTGCCAGATCTTTAAAATCAACTATTTTCGATAAAAGGTAATGTATTTCTCACACAAAACTCTAACAAACCAATGAGGCCATAGTGTAGCTAGATATTCACTGAACAGATCGGAGAACATCATGCATCACTCTCTAAATGCTAGTGAAACAGTGTAGATTAAAAGATTTGCACAACTTTGTAGGGAGATTGGTCAATTTAGCTGCTTCATGCTGACATTGGAAGATAAGTACAATGACCCTCAGAAGCTATTCTCTCTCTCTCTCTGTCTTTCTAAGTTGCAGCTTTAAACAGTTGGGTAGTTAGTCAAGCGATAGTCAAATTATAACTTCAATATATTTTGCAACAAAACGTGCACCTTCATGGGAGACGATGAACGTGCAGTAGCAAATGTCTGGAGATGTGGGCTCTACCTTTCACAGCCTTTCACTATACTGTTAACTCTGTCAAGAAACTAAAGGACTGGTGAGAAAGATTTCCTGATCTTTATTCAAAGAATATTTTTGTTAAAACAAAAAAAAATTGAAAATGTGTTAGGTAGAAAGCAGCTACTTTTTTCTGTGTTTGGTATCAACATTAGGTGTGATTTAACTCGGACTCATTAATGAACTGAGAGCAACATATATATGGCTCATGGCTGTTTCCTCTGAATCCTCTTGTACAACACAAATGGACTCACATATAGAAGTTATATATTTTGAAGCTAATTCTTCTCTTTTACCTGTTCTGAAGTAGCGTCTGATTATAGTTAGGTTTCTAGTTTGTACAAATACAATGTCTACAGTGTCAGACAACACTCCATTTTTACAACAGGAGACAGTTTATAGAGACTGAGGGCAAGTTAGTGGAAGCATGCCCGACTTATCTAAACCTTGTAACACTCAAGTTTCATATCAAAAGTCTCGTTATTGATTTTCATTTGGATGCAATATTATAAAGACAAGCTGGATTACAATAATTTACTGGGTTAGAATATAGTTAACCATAAACAATATTTATAGGCTTATTTTGATGTAAGTGTCGCATATAAAGAACACTTTTTTCGGGGTGGGAGGGGAATGGGGGGGTGATGCTCCATTGCAAGTGGCGAAGCTTTCTGTGTGTTATTTGTCTAATAAAAAAAAGTTTCTTTTTCCTGTGTGGTCTTTTATTCATTGTTTTAAACCAATCAAAGATAGCTGAGCAGGACAAGGTCAATTACCCTCCAGGATTGTATTGGAATTAAATTCTAAGCCATAAAAATAAGCTGTTGTGCGATAGTAGTATCCCCACCTCAGAGCCAGGAGGGCTGGGTTCAATTCCCACCTACTCCAGTGATGTATCTTAACATCTCTGAGCAGGTTGATTAGGGAAATATAACAGTTTATCTACAGTGCACTTATTTTTGTGTCATCATAGTCTTACCAGACCATAAAGATGCTGTCTCATTGGAGAGAGACGACTGGTGGCGATTTAAGCTGAGGGTCACCGAACCTCAGGCGAGGGGAGAGATTGAAAAGGAGAGTCCTTCATGGTAACCTCAGCCAGTGATGGGAATCGAGCCCGCGCTGTTAGCATCACAATGCTTCACAAACCAACCATCCAGCCAACTGAGCTCCAATGCACTACTGCAACCAACACAACAGAACAATGTCATAGGAGTGTTTTAAAGAATTGGGTTTTCTTTAATTTCTTAAAAACTTTTTATTTATAAAGATGTTGGGGTTGGGAGTAGTGGTGAAAGCAGTCTATTTATATTTTCTAATCTGAGATGAAGTAGTTGGGTGTGAATGCAAGCATCCTAGTTCAGAGGTAGGGACACTGCCACAGTACCATATGATCCCAAATGCAGGCTGTTTATTCGCAGTCAAAAACAATGCAATCAGGATTAAGAACTAAAGTCATTAGAATTAGGAGCAGGAATAGGCAATTTGGCCCTTTGAACCTGATCTTGAAGAGGTTCAGCACTTTCTGGTTGGTACTGAAGTGGGGAGTGTGCAGACAAGTTTCAGGGGCTGTCATGATGTCATAAATCCTACATGACCGCATCCAGGCAAATTTTTTTTCAGCAAACCTGCCCATACGCTGCACAATACAGTCAACTGTAATAGAGCTGACGAAGTGGTATTGTGGCTGGGCTACTAACCTAGCGGCACAGACTAATGTTTGGATAACATTGATTCAAATCCCTCCACGGAAGATGATGGAATTTGAATTTTGATTTAAAAAACCTGGAATTATAGAACTGGCCTAATGGTGGTTATTGTCATAACAAATGGGTCACCAATCCCCTTCAGGGAAGGGGCAATCTGTCCGTCTCTACCTGATCTGGTCTACATGTGACTGCAGATCTATAACAATGCGGTGGACTCTTAACTGAGAAGAACCCAATTAGAGATGGGAAATAAACTATTTAATTAATCAACCTGTTCAAAGATGTTACTGCACACCTCTGGAACAGGTGGGACTTGAATACAGTCTTCCTGGTCTAGGGGTAGGGACACTACCACTGCGCCACAAAAGGGTAATAAATGCTGGCTCAGCCAACAACACCAGATCTCATGAATGAGTTCTTATTTCAAACAATAACAGCAAAATAATCCAGGTGCTGTAAATCTGAGATAAAAACAGAAACTGCTGGAAGAAACTCAGCAAATCTGGCAGCATGTGTGGCGAAAGAAACAGAGTTTAACACTTTGAGTTCAGTATGACTCTTCTTTGAAACACAGGAGCCTGTACAGTACCTGGTGCATTACTCCAAACTGCTGTATGTTAGTGTGTTCCTGGTTGGTGTGCGATGCAGAATGATACTAATAGCACAGCTTAAATTCCTAGACCAGCTCAGGTCACCACAAAGACCCATCTTCTCAGTCTCACCTCTGACTCTCAGGTTAAACTCACCACCAATCATGTCCCTCTAATGACACAACGGTGTATGTACTTCTGAGACTCTAGTAACTTTCACCCTTAGCATACATTCTTGCCAATAAAAATATTATGATAGGGCAAGAGGTTATATTGCCATGTGTTTGTCTTTATTATTACTCAATTACAGGACATGGGTATTACTGGTAGGAACAGTGTTTATTCCCCGTCTCTAATTACACTGGAGAAAGTGGTGATGAGCTGCCTTCTTGAACCATTGCCATCTTTGTGGTGTAGGGACGCCAACAGATCTGTTAGCAAGGGAGTTTCAGGACCCAGTGACAATGAAGGAATGGCAATATAGATCCAAGTAATGATGCTGTGGAGAGCTCAGAGAGGAACTTAACTGGTGCTAATGGTCCCGTGTATCTGCTGCCATTGTCTATTTTGGTGATAGAAGGCACAGGGTTTGAAAGTGCTCTTGAAGGAGTTCAGCTAAATTGCTGAAATGCATTTTGTAGACAAAGACATGGTGCACTAGTAGTGGAGGGAGTGAATGCTGATTTTTTCAGATGCGATGGTGGTCAAATGACTACTTTGTCCAAGCTGGTGTTGAGCTTCTTGAGTTTTGTTGAAACTGCACTCATTCAAGGAACTGCAGAGTTTTCCATCACATTCCTGACTTGTGCCTTATAGATAATGGACAGAGTCAGAGTCATCGAACTTCTACAGGACTGGAAGAAGCCGTTTGGCCCATCATGTCTATACTAGGCATCAAGCATCCATCCTCTATAATCTCATTATCCAACTCTCGTATTCTATGGTGTTTCAAGCATCCATCTCAATAATTCTTAAAAATCTTGATGCTAAAACCACCCTTACAAGCAGCATGTTCAGATACCCAGCATCCTCTGGGTAAAAAAACTTTTCCTTAAATTCCCTCTAAACCTTTTTCTCCTTCCCTTAAAACTGGACCCCCAGTCCTTGAGCTGTTTCTCCCTCTAAACCCTTTCTATGCCCCTGAAAACTTTGGACATCTCAATCATATCCGTATATCCCTCTGCACTAATGAAAACAACCCCAGCCTATCTCGAGACAACAAGATGCAGAGCTGGATGAACAGAGCAGGCCATGCAGCATCATAGGAGCAGAAAGGCTGACGTTTCGGGCCTAGACCCTTCATCAGAAATGGGGGAGGGGAAGGGGGTTCTGAAATAAATAGGGAGAGAGGGGGAGGCGGATAGAAGATGGATAGAGGAGAGGATAGGTGGAGAGGAAACAGACAGGTCGAAGAGGCGGGGATGGAGCCAGTAAAGGTGAGTGTAGGTGGAGAGTTAGGGAGGGGATAGGTCAGTCCAGGGAGGACGGACAGGTCAAGGGGACGGGATGAGGTTAGTAGGTAGGAGATGGGGATGCGGCTTGAGGTGGGAGGAGGGGATAGGTGGGAGGAAGAACAGGTTAGGGAGGCGGGGATGAGCTGGGCTGGTTTTGGGATGCGGTAGGGGGAGGGGAGATTTTGAAACTTGTGAAATTCACATTGATACCATTGGGCTGCAGGGTTCCCAAGCGGAATATGAGTTGCTGTTCCTGCAACCTTCGGGTGGCATCGTTGTGGCACTGCAGGAGGCCCAGGATGGACATGTCGTCTGAGGAATGGGAGGGGGAGTTGAAATGGTTCGCGACTGGGAGGTGCAGTTGTTTATTGCGAACCGAGCGTAGGTGTTCTAGTTTCACAAGCTTCAAAATACCAATAAAAACCAATAAAGTGTTCAAATGAAGTGAGGGAGAAAACACAATCTATGTCATTGTCCTTTCGGTTTCTCCTCGATTTTCCTCACAACAGTAACATGGAGATTTATCTTCAATTATTGCACAATCCTCAAGGTTAATCAGATGTTCAAACATTATTTGGATTGAAGAGTATGCTATTTTACTCAGCCTTAAAAGTTAAATACCTTCTTGAGTAGGCAAAGGTTAAAGATTATTTGCACCATTGTTGTTTCCATTCTAAGGTGGCAAGCTTCTACAGAAAGGTAATATATAAATGACATAACTTGCATTTATGTAGCACCCTTCACAACCTTAAAGTACTTTGCAGTATTTCTCAGCCAATAATTCATTGAGTAAATGTCTAAATTGTAGGAAATGCAGCAACCAGTGTGCGTACAGTAGGATCCCATAAACAGCAATATGATCATGAACAGATAATCTTTCTCAGTGATTTTGGTTGACGGCTAAATATTGGGCAAGACGCAATATCATCACCAAGAATTGGCAAACCACTTCCTGGTACGAAACTGCAAAATCTGCCTAACTCTAACCCTAACTCTAACCCATTATCATATCACTTATAACCAAAGTGGTTACCTTATAGAACAGGCAGGAAGAAAAGACTTGACCTGGTGTGGAAAACTTTACTAAATTGAAATAAAAACTTAAAATGCCGCAAAGACGTAGCAATTCTGAGGAAAGAGAAACAGGTTTAGTATTTCAGATTGGCAACTTTTCATCAGAGCTGGAAAAAGTTAAAGGTGAACAGATTGGAAGCAAGTACATAGGCAGGGAAAGAGGGTGATGAGGAAAGAACAAAAGGCAAGTTATGTGATAGGGTGGAAAATAGGAGAGATTAAGTGACAAAACAGATGGAAGGCAAAATGAGATTGTATTGCAACAAGTAAAGAAAGACAAAATAAACAAAGAACAGCAGATGCTGAAAATCTGAAACAAAAACAGAAATAGAAACAGTTGGAGAAACTCAGCAAGTCTGTCAAATATGTAGAGTGTAGACAGAGTTATCATTTCCAAAACAAAAACAGATGTTGCTGGAAAAGCTCAGCAGGTCTGGCAGCATCTGTGAACAAAAATCAGAGTTAATGATTTGGGTCTGGTGGCCCTACCTCAGAATTGATGGTAGCGTGGATAATGTCGGTTTACATGCAGAAGATAGGGTGTGGGCAGGGGTAAGGAGTAAATGATAGGTGGGGATAGGGCCCAAAGAGAGAGAAGACAGTTGGATACACAAAGGAATGGATAACAATTTGGCTGGGAGACTGAATAGCTGTTAATGTAGTATGTTAGTGGCTAACAATAGGTAGTGTGTAATGGCAAACTGTGTGATAACAAGGCCTGGTATAGGGTTGGCTAGGGGGCTAGGAGAGTTCAGGCCCTAAAATTATTGAACTCGATGTTGAGTCCAGAGGGC